AAAAAAAAAAAAAAAAAAAAAAAAAGACTTTATATTTGCAAAACAGAATGAATGAAATAAACTTTCAGAAATTGCATTTGGTGGCCTAATTTGCATTCCATCAGCAGAGCAGGTCTCTCTGCTAACTGACACGGCAGCAAAAATATCCATCAACTTGCCCTGATACATGATTTTGATGAAAAATACATTTAGGAGAGTTACTGATTGAGCTGCTGTAACTTCATCCCTGACGCATCAATTCCCTTAGCAACAGGGAACATTTAGTGGTTACGGACTTGCGTAAACTGAGGAAAAAAGGACAAAATGAGAAATGACTGTATGAACTGATGAACTGGGAAGAAGAATGCACGGAAAATAGAGAAACAGTTTGGGACTCACAGTGGGATAATTTATCATATTTAGTTTAATTGTTAGGATTCATGGAACATTATTTAGAAATTGTATCTGTAGCCAACACTGTATAAATCTGTCACCTGCTGCACGCAGCGCTGAGGGGGAAAGGCAGCTTTTCAGGTGTGGATAGCTGTTTACCAGCAAACGTCAAAACAGAGATGCACATGTGCAAGCAAGGGTCTAATTCTCTTCCTAAGGGAAGGGTGTTCACAACATATATTGTGCTCTCTAAACAAGCAACAATCTCCCGTGTCTGAGGGAGGAAGGCCACCTGTCCCATTTGCTCATGTTTTCAGTGGGTTTTTTCTTATCTGTCCTGTTTTTCCTTCATACTGTTGTTCTGTCCTCCTGCAGAACTGCGAGGCAACAGAAATAAGGCCTTCACGACTTAATCTTTTTGCGTCTAAAAAATTATACTGATCGTCTGACTGCTAGTCATTTTTTTTCCACAGAAGTATTTTCCTCTCATTTCTTTCCTCACAGCAAAACGAGCAGCTGGTTAAGCACACAACGGAGGCTGGCTGGTGGGTGACAGCTGGCGATGACCATTCTCTGGAATCCCCCTTCCCACATACTCCCTAAGCTTTTCCTATCCATTGTTTAAAAGATAGTGTAACTTCATCCAGAACCCCTTAAAATGATGTTAGGGGTATTTTGATCTTGCAGTCCTTAATGCCTATTATTTTTATTACTACATATTGAAGGTCACAATTTTCAAAAGCAATTGGTATTTTAGATTACTCTCAAGACATCTAAGCTGGGCTGGTTTTCCAGCAGCACACGGGCCATCAGCATGCCTCCTCCTGCAGGGCACCTGAGCCACCAGGCACTTTTGGACATCATGGACAACACAGTTTTTGGGTCACAGGTGTTTTTCAGCAGGTTTCAGAGACTAAAACAGGACTGCACTTTATGAAAGTTTAGTAGATTTTATAGGGTGAAATCTAACCACATACCACAACTTCTAGAAACCACAAAACCTGATTTTGTTCCATACTGTTGTGTATGTCAGAAATCTGTATAGTCAGGAAGTGCTGGAAAATGATCCAGGGAGAAGATAAAGGAAATGAGTCAAAAGGTGAGACAGTTCTGGCACCAAGGCTAATATTGACATTGTGCTCACTGCAGCTCACATTACCCTTCATCTTGACAGCTGCAGAAAAATGTCTTATCTAAATGATACCATTGCTATATGGCAAGTTAACGAAGTCACAGAATTTCTCCCACTCTGGAGAGGAGGGAATGGGACAGGGAAGAGCACAGGGGCTGAGAGTTTTAGATATAACTCAGGCAAAATTCCCTCTGGGTTTGGGATTTGCCTTTGTTAGATTATAAGGACTATAAAACACACATGGCTACGAAGTAGCACATGTAAAATTATATACATATATACTCACAAACCCACTGATATTACATGATTATATACATTTTAGTATGTTAATATAAATAATCATACGTAACAATTTATAAATATAAGTATACTATATATAAACTGTGTATATTTGTGTATGTATACATACATATATATATATAAAATATGCATGGTTCTTCTAGTATTCAGTGATAGATTTTTTTGCCTAGAAGCTATACAGCCACTATTTATGTTGCCACTATACAGTTACTAAAAACAACGGTTAGTTGCCTATAGTGCCTGCCCAAGCTCTGAAAAACTGTACTTTTGAACACACAAAAGGCCAAGTCAAAATTTCTATATTCTGTTTCTTTATACTAATTACAGTGATCTTTCCTACACAACAACATCAAATGTCTTCTCTCTGCAAAATTTTTGGGATTTACTCTTGACATAATTCAGTTAAATTGAATCCTAATAAAAATATTCAAAAATTTCACTGCCTATTTTGAAGATAATAGCCAGGTATTTCACTACCTATCAGTCCCTATATGCACATATTATTTACACTAAGCATCTAAGACGTACCTTGTTCTTTCCCATTGCACACGGTGGTGGTGCCATTTTCCACAGCACCCTCCCCATCTGAGCTTGGCCTCTCAAATGACAACTTCTGCAGGGGCAAAGAGATTAGTTGACATACAGTGTTGGCACCTTTGCCAAATGAAGTGTCATGAGTCAATTTAAAAGTTATGGTTATTATTATTTCAAGCTCTCATCCACTTGATAGTAGAACTGATAGTAGAAAAATCAGTTTTAGAGGCTTTAGAAAAGCATGAAAATCACAAAATAGTCTGTATTTGAAAGTGTAGTCAAAATGGTGAAGCAATCACAATTCCTCTTATTACATGATATACTTTTAAATAATTTCTAGACTCCAAATGTTGTTGTTTATTAATCCGCTAAGCAGTGAACAATTACATGGATCAGATAAGAATAATTTTTAAATTATTTCTTTAAATAAGGCTTCATACATGCATTTACAATTACAACGTATCAGAAAATACTGCATTCCCACAAAGTGCTTCAACACTTTCAATACATGCAAAAGAAGAGACTTTTGAAATAAATTTTTAGCGTTGATTATTCTGTTCCGTAAGGGTTGTGTATGAGAAATGGGCTGAAGCAGTACAGAGCTTATGTCAGCACAGTTTTGGTAACATTACTCATGAGTTGTGAAGCCATGAAGAAGATGCACAGATTATCACAAAAACAAATGAGAAGTTTTGCTACACTTTTTTATGGCATGCATTTTAGAAAACAACTGTTATATGACACTTTCAGTTGCTTTGTTAATACCGTGCAAGTGTGTGCAAGCACGCAAACACAACAGCTTTTCCCTTGTGAAATCAGGAGGTCTGAGCTGTCATGGAACATGCTTTTCTCTTGGCTTTCCAGGTGCAAAGCAACATGACACTATTGACAGTGGTGTCCTTCCACCACAGGGGTAGAACTTGCCATCAGGAATTTGATGACAAAACCTTTGCAGTGGGACTTCTAAGTAGAGCCCACAGAGGGGTCTGTTCACATGGATGCCTTAACAGAGCAGGCGTTTAAATTGGTACTGGTAATGTACTGGTCATTTCAGTGCAGAGCTGCTCTCTTTCCTAATTCTTGCTCTCTAATTCTTCCTAATTCTTGACTCTGCTGAGTCAAGGCAAAAGAGACAACCATATGTGAATATACAAGTTTCTCTACTGAGGCATGAATGCTTGAAAGGGTCTGCTAAAACAGTGATTTCAGCATGCCCTGAGAGCTCTGCAAGAACTAAATTCCCCAAAATAAAAGACTTTCCCTTAAAACTTGTATAATCTTCAGCTATTCTTTCCTGACTGGTACATCCCTGCTTGCTCTTTGCACTTGACAGAGAACAACTCTGCATCACAGCACACTTATCAGACCCCCTTAGTCTACACCCTCGTAAATGGCTAAAGAGAAGCTGCTAATGAATATGAGCCAGTCTGATGGTTGGTTGTGTCCAAATTAATAGACATAGCAGAAGTCTTAACTCTGTAGGATGTGTGCACATAACCAGCCAAACAAAAACAACACAGGGACTAAGAGTCTGAAACAGTAGCAAAAGTCAGCAAGTATTTACATCCAGCGTCTAGCAGTGCCTCTTTAACAAGTAATCATAAGGAATTCTACATTCATCATTTTCATAACTTTACCTTTTCCAGCTCTGTCTTGTGTACTGGAGAATTAGACAATGGCCCATCAGAGTCTACAGCTCCCGTACAGTTGCTGCAAACATCTTTGATAACCTTAGGAGACAATGCAAAACTTGTTAATTATTAATAAAATACAAATCAGAGAAATTATATATGAATAGGAAGGGAGTGGAGAAGGAGAATCATGCAGACATTTTTTAGACTGGCAGGTGTCAGGCAGGCTGTCACTACACCAGTCTCTCCACTCTGCCTCCCTAAGTCATTTCACGTATGACCTGGAGGAGACATCATGTCTAGAGGTGGAAGGTTTCAGTTTCCAGACAAGAAAAGCTCCAAGACTCTCCTGAGTAAAGAAACGAACAGCGCTGCTCATTTCCATGTGCTAGTTCTGCAGTATGAACTCAGCTGACACAACCAAATTAATTTCATTATAATGATGAAAAAGTGGGATCAAATCCAAGGTCCCGCAAGTCAAAGGACAAGAGTTTTGCATAATACACTACCCAGCTGCTTTTATACTATTGGAGAACTAATTAAGTGCTGATCAACTTACAGTTAATACTGTGTAAGGGGTATTTCATGGCATTTTTGTATTATAATTGCACATAATGTGTTAGAGGGAAATAAGAATGGCATTGTCTGCCTTTAAAAAGTTGAAGAAAAACCCAGAACCTTGAATTCACTGATATTTTGATAGAATTTGAAGAATTTGTCTCTAAATTGGAGAGACATGGATTTGATGGATGGACCACTCGGTGGATAAGGAGTTGGCTGGATGGTCGCACTCAAGGAGTTGCAGTCAGCGGCTCAACGTCCAAGTGGAGAGCAGTGATGGATGGTGTTCCTCAGGGGTCTGTAGGAGAACCAGTGATGTTTAACATGTTTTTTAGCAGCATGGACAGTGGGATTGAGTGCACCCTCAGCAATTTTGCCAACACCAAGCTGTGTGGTGCAGTCCACATGCTGGAGGGATGTACCATCCAGAGACACCTTGACAGGCTTGAGAGGTGGGCCCATGCAAACCTCATGAAATTCAACAAGGCCAAGTGCAAGGTCCTGCACATGGGCCAAGGAAATCCCAAGCACAAATACAGGCTGGGCACGAAGTAGATTGAGAGCAACCCTGCAGAGAATGACCTGGGGGGGGGTGATGTGTGATGAGAAGCTCAAAAGGACCCACCCATGTGCACCTGCAGCATAGGAAGCTAACCAGCAGGTCAAGGAAGGCAACTGTCCCCCTCTACTCTGCTGTGACCCCACCTAGGGTGCTATGCCCATCGTTGGGGTCCCCCACGTAAGACAGACAGGGACCTGCCTAAGTGGGCCATGAAGATGATCAGGAGGCTGGAGCACCTCCCTTATGAGGACAGGCTGAGAAAGTTGGGGTTGTTCAGCCTGGAGAAGGCTCTGGGGAGACCTTAGAGTGGCCTTCCAGTACCTAAAGGGGGCTACAGGAAAGCCAGATATGGTGTCTTTATCAGGGAGTGTAGTGATACGATGAGAGGTAGCAGTTTTAAACTGTAAGAGGGTAGATTTAGATTAGATATAAGGAATAAAGTCTTTACTGTGAGGGTGGTGAGGCCCTGGCACAGGTTTTCCAGAGAAGCTGTGGCTGCCCCCTCCCTGGCAGTGCTCAAGGTCAGGTTGGACGGGGCTTTGAGCAACCTGGGCTAGTGGAAGGTGTCCCTGCCCGTGGCAGGGGGGGTGGAACTAGGTGATCTTTAAGGTCCCTTCCAATCTAAACCATTCTATGGTAATCAATGATAATTTAAAAACCTGATATTATATAAATGTTAAAATACTTGATGAATAAAGACTTGAGGATTCCCATGGAAATAATTCAATGTTTTATCTCTTGTGAAGTTACCACCAGCCCTGGTATGACCAGACCATCAGTCTGAAATTGCTTGTGCTGTTAAGAACAGGTCCCAACTCTCCATCCAGACTCATGCTGAGGGGTGCTGAACTCTACACCACCGATTACAGCCATGCAGCCAAGCAAGGATGGCAGAGCCAAGCAAGCTAAGAAAGGTATCCTGCTCTGCTTGGAAGCATTACTACTAGACATGCAAACTTTTCTCTTTACATGTACATGTATGTGTTTACATATCCAGCTCCTCCCTTTACACTGTTTATAGCATACCCCGCTGGCAGAGGAGGATCTGGCCTGAGAATTCCTAGTTCCAGGGAAAACAGCAATTAGCTAACTGTCAAAATCCAGATTTCTTTCAAGGAGAGGAAAAGCAAAACAACAAACAACATCTTTTTAGTTTTGAACTGAACAATTTTGATGTGGAAACTATTAAAGAGCTAAAGGTGGCACCAAACAGTCCTTTCACAGCACTAAAGTTCCCTTTAAGGGTGAAGCTAAACAAAACAAATGTTTATGGGCTTACAAAGACCCTACTGCTACAACTCATGAGCACATCATAAATTACATGCATTATATGCCATAAGGAAAGAGCACCAGCCCCATTTTACAGATGGAGAACTCGGGAACAAAAGAAAGATTAAATCACTCAGTGTCATATAAAAAAAAACAAACACAAAAACAAACAAACAAACAAAAAAACAAAAAACAAATAAACAGAGCTAGGAAATGAACCTACACTTTTATTTCCGAGCTAGTATCTTGAAACACTTTAGCATCTTTTCCTGACTGTCTGAACTTCCCTGTATCTTGTCCCAGAAACATAAGAACAATATTTCATGGCACTTGGCCTCCTTTGTAACAGAAAATTTAGATGTATCTGTTGCAGACCATTTGCACTTCAAAGTTAAATGTAGCCCTAAATTCCCCAAAATCATAAGAATTTTTTTTAGGTGTGTTGTTTTATTTTCACTTGCTGGTCCTCAGTATGGTGTAAATACACTGCTGTTTTCTTCCTAGAGAAATGTGACTGTACGGTTTCTGGGAACATTAATTTCTGTCTCCTGCATGACCCTGATTCAATAGCTCATGTTTTCAGCATCTGCTCCCACCACACAGTTAGTTAATTTTGGCAAAGGCAGATAGTAATGGGAGTTACAGACAGAACAGGGGGAAATGATTTGGCAGAACTAACTGAATACTATGTGCAAAGTCATGCACTCAAGTAAATCCGGTTCTTATCATAGCTCACATATTTAAGGAGAATTTAAAGTGTTTAATTAGGTTATAATTAAATTTTGATTAAAAAAATTACACACTATCAAATGGAAGTTTGTGGCAAGATCTGCTGAAGTAAATGCATATTCAAGGATCCAACACTTCATTTAGGTTCAAGTGGCTCACTGGCAAAGACTTGCTCATCACCTTCTATGTGCAATGTAATTGTGTTCGATGCACAGCATAAAACTCGTATTTCTACAGCTCACCAGGATGAAATGCCTTTAATATATAATGGTTGCCTGGATGCACTCTCTATAATTACGTTTGCAGACAGCTGCCATTAGAAATGTGGTTTTCACATGCTTATAGCTTTAACTCAAAATTTTAAGGATAAAACATTCCACCCATGTTGCCAACTTCCATAATTTCAATCACAAGACTCAGAGTTCTTGTCAATTTTTTCTAGGTTCCATCTCCTGGAGTCATATGAAAACAAAAGATCTATTTTTGTTTAAAAATATTTGTCAGAGAGTGGAGAAAGGAAGTCAGCAAACTTTTATCTGTTGCAATGAAATGAGTGAAACTAAATAAATATATCTCAATGGCTCCAAAACTAGAAAGCAAATAAAAGGAATCCCCAAATGTGTTATTTTTAATAAAATGGCATAACCTGGTAGGCTGTACTGAGAATACTTTGTAATGGTGCATACTTCATTAATAGTTTAAATTTTCTCACACATTAGAAAAAGGAAATCATTCTCTTTTTCTCACCACAAATGCCTTTGTGCATTACGTATACACACAGGGTGATCTGCCAGGAAAATCAAACTGAGATCCTAAACAGACTATGTATTCAAATATTTAAAATATACGAGTAAATGTAATCAGAAAAATGAAGACCTCTCATTTCTTTGTATAGCCCACAAAACTACATACATTTAAAATAATCTTCTACTATTCCATTGCAAGAATTTTAAATACCACAATTACCATTACAATGTTACAATTAACAGACTTCAGAACTTCCTCTTTCAAATGCAGACCTGGAAAAAGCTTGTGCAGCCTGAACTATATTACTCTTTCTTATTATTCTTTCTTGGTATAGGAAGGTCCTGAATCCCCAGCTGGATGAGGATATATACCAGTGTATTGTACTGAGTGTAGTGACATGAGGAATAGAGGGGAAATATTTGCAGGTAGAAAGATGGAAAGGTTCCCTGCCCCAAGCCCTTGACAATGATGGCTGAAGCCAGTGGAATTTCTGCCACGTGGTGTCTCTGGAATATTTCTCTCCTTAAAACTATCTTACTACACAAGCACTAACATTTACTAGAAAACCTTCATACCTGCACTCAACCTACAAACTCTTATATTTTATTTTAAATGACACACCAGGACTTGAGGCAAAATACTTGCCTGACATTTATTCTTTCTACATTCAAAGTCAGAAGAATCAAATTAGATTTTTCCCGCTACCTTCAAAGATCGAGGCTTCAGATAAAAGGCACAGGCTATGAAGTAAAATCAGAAAGTCAGCAGCTTAACCAGCAAGACCCTACCACACAGAAACACCACAAATTATGAGTAGAAGTACTAAACTTGTAAATAGCTCCTAGTGGTTGATCTCTTTGGGACCTGATAAGGAAATAAGACTGAAAGTCATTCTGCGCTTGAGGAGCTCTCTCCTGGTGGGTACTGTGGGATGAGTTCAGGCTACAGACCGTGCTTACCACAGGGGTGTTTTTACAGCATGTGTGTCGAGTTTTCATGGAACTCACAGGAGAAACTCACACTTAACATGATGGATTCCAGAAGTGATTAGGGAGAAAGCGGACAGCCTGACTGCACATTTGCTTCACTTCCGTATGTAACTGGGCTAGAAATCCATCCAGCCACTCCATCCCCGCATCCCCATCTAACCAAATGTTTTGTAAATACAGGATTTTCTAGAAATGGGATAGGCCGTATCCCCTATCTCTGCTGCTTAACTCTGAAGACAGGA